TAATGTTGGTCAAAAAGGTAAATAGTGAATACTACAATACATTTTGTTTATTCATGACACTGATACTATTATATTATAATTTTTAATGTAATGTAAAATTGCTGAGATACACGTAGTCCTTTCTGGTTCTATAAGTTATTGCAAGATATTAGCTCTGAATATAATGATTTAATTCGTAGTATAGGACTTTGAGGATTGATTCATCTATAAGACTATAAACTAAACGGGGATCTTTGTTTATGGTTGATTAAAATGGTTGACTTAAACAAGCAATGTTTGAAATTACATGATTATGAGATTCCATTGACATTTGAGACATCGTCAATCATTATTAGTTTGTCAGCTGAGAGTACCCTTATTACTTTTGTGGAAGATGATCGTACAATTACAAGTTTATGCAATTAATTTAAAATTAATAATAATAGATTCATAAAATTTAGTGATTTAGAAAAAGAATTGTCAACGTTACATAAAGATTCTGATGAGTTTAAAGGTAAATTTTTTCTGTATGCAATAGGTTGTTTACTTTATCCATCAGCATCTACCTATATAGAAAAAAATTACATATCTTGCCTACAAAATATAAGTTGCAATACAACTATAAACTTATCGAAGCATGTGTGTGAAATACTCTTATTGGGAATATCAAATTTTCACAATAGGATGAAGAAGAATGATGGAAAAACAACATGGTTGAGTGGATGCGTTTTGATTCTTCAGGTTTGGTGGTTAAATAATTTTTTTTACATTGTGTTATGATATTGTTTTTTTTGTCAAAAATTTATTTTGGATATTGTATTTTTTTTCCTTCTATAATATTTGTACAGATAGTTTTTTTGGATCATATATCTGGTGCACAATTTGACAGTAAATATGGTCAATTTTTTTTATTTCGGACCGCTGCATGGAACCAAAAAAAGATTGATGGATGGTTGTCTCATATCAAAGATTTTAAAAATCCAAAAAATGTTCAGGTGATGTAATTAATCTTTTCTACAATAAAAGTTTATATAATTAGATGTAAATATTCTCTCATATTGAGAAATATATGTATTGGTTGAATCTATAGGCATATATCATCACACTAACTATGGACATGAAGTCAAAGAGAAAGTTGTCATTTGATGCTCATTTATGCTCTCAAATCAAAGTATGTATTTATA